GAAAAATAAAAAAATAAAAAGTATGGAATTTTCAACTCCCAAACCGATGTAAATTCCTGTAGCCGGTTAACTAAAAAGAAGAATCGAATTTGAACACAAGGTGGCATGAATTTGAAGCTCTGACCACACCTTTTAATTCGTTAAGCCTCTTACATCTCTCTTCCAACTTGTCGAGCTCTTTTGAATCAACATGACGTGTGGAGAACGTTGCCTTCTTCAATCGTCTTGCGTTCTCTAGTATGTATGTAGCCACTTCTTTATCTTCTCTTCCCCAATCGTATCTTGTCAACACAAATGTCTCCAGATGTGCCAACAAACATTTAGGGACACACTTTGGCTCATTCCATTTCTCTCCGACCACAGCATCTTGATTAGAATTAAGATATCTCTGAGACCAAAGAGAGAGACGAGAGAAAATCAGTGTTACGTATCATTACTAGACCATTAATAAATAGCTAGCTAGCTGGCCTGGCTAATACAAAAAAAAATGAATGTCTTACACCAACGAGCTTGAGGACTTGTGAATTAGGAGAATTTTCGAGCATGGGCGTAAGTAGATTCCACCACTCTGCTTCACGTGTATACATCTCAAGATAAACCAGTTGATAGAAGATAGTGCCAGTGGGAAATGTGATCTATCCATGAGAAAAATTATTAGTGTATAGTAACAATAATGTGATAATAAAGAACTCAATCAGCAATAAACGAAAACCCACAAAGTTACCTCCCACGGTGATATATTCAAGGACAGACGTTTGACTGAAGTGAAAGATGCAAGAAACTTCTCATGGAGCATAGAAGAGTTGTCAATCTTTGCCTCCACGAGCTCCGACGCATTCAGACAAAAACCTTGACATCTTAATTTTTCAATTTCTAAGTATTTCAAAGAAGGAACATTTATCTTATATCCCCATCATCAGTACCATTATCATCATGAATGGTTAATCTCTGCAAAGAAGGGACCTCAATAGTGAAAACCTTAATATCAGAACCATCACCTCTTACCACTAAAAAGTCTTCAAGAATAGGGCAACCAGATAAAAGGTTGCGGATAGATGCATCGTCTTTGTACTGGACATCTATAAGATGAAGAGTCCTAAGAGATTTCATCAAAACCGGTGATGAGATATCTAGAAACATACACTGGAGTTTCAAAATCTCTAGTGTGTTACAAGTACACCAGCTACTTGGAAATGTGCAGGTCACTTCCTGAGGATCAAAATCGAGTATCAATTGACGCAAATTTCGAGCAAACGCAATTCCAACCCAAACTCCAATATCTTGAGGAGTAACTTTATCTAAACCAAATACGAGCTTAAAACTCTCTAGAACTGGAGCTTTATATGAAAGGAAAGATTTGCAAACAATCTCTGAAATGTTTGGTGTTCACTTCCGTAATCATCGTCTTCACTTCCACTTCCGTACTCGTCAGAATCGAAGTCGAGATATGGGACCAATTTCCAAAGAGATCGCCATTGTTTAGACAACACACAAGTGGTTCTGACAGTTTTTGTAGGAAGTAAAGATAATATGTCCACAGTCAAAGCTTCAGGCAACTGACTGATTCTATCCTCATTAATAACACATAAACTTTTCACAGAAAAACAAAAAAAAAACCAGGAAGAAACTATTAGGATTTTATGCATTTCCAGATTTAATACGTTCTTACTAAACATAATAATAATAAAAAAAGGAGACTTACTGTTTCTCCATTGTCATTAATAGAGACTTAGCGTTGCATGTAAAACCCTCGTAATTGTGCCATTTCCAGTGCACTTTCAAACGATCCAAAAGCAATAAGAAGCTGCGGATACGAACAAATTTTGCTTTTAAGATGATGATGATGTGTCTTTTGTTAATTACAATTTTCAAATCACAAAATAGGTACTTACTGGATTTGGCATTTTCATTAATCCGATTGATTCAAGATTTGGAGAGATTTTAGGAGATTTGAAGGATATTGAGATGATTTTTTCCAAATAATCCACCTTAATTTACATAGATTTTTTAAGTATCTTATTATATAAAAGAGGATGTGCATGATGAGAGATTGACATGTATACAAAATTATAACTCACTAAATCATGACATGTGTCTACTATTGATTTGATATTTAAAACTAATTAAAAAAAGGTAAAAGTAAAAATAGAAAACGAACAAAAATAATTGTTAAGTAACTAACAAAATAGTAAAAAGTAAAAAAAATTTATATTTCAAACTAATAAAAAAAGAAAAAATTTTAATAGTCAAAACTAAAGAGATAAAGAAAGTTAATAGTTCAAACTAATTATAAAATAAATTAAGAAAGAGAATAAAGAGTATAAACCGTAAAGATAAAAAGCGGAGAGAAAATAAAAAA